TTTTTTTTTTTTTTTGTAACACTGGTGCCATAGTCGCAAGCTGTGTTGCAATCCTGAAGGCATGCAGTTCAAGTCTACCAGCCTTTCCGTGGGAGAAGGATGGGCAGTCTCCTCCTGTATGATTAACTGCCTCTGAAAACCCACCAGAGGGTCAGCTATAGGTCGGTTCCGACCCAACTGTAAACAACAACAACAACCTATAATGGTTAGAGAGTTACACCTCCCCTCACTCACTCACTGCTGTTGAGGCTCATAGCAAGCCTCCTCTGGGTTTTGAAGGCTGTAAATCATGCTCATAGGAGCACATCTATCATTCTCCCTCAGAGCTGTTGGTGGAATTGAACCACTGGAGGTGTGCCACTTCTGTGATCTTAAGGCAGTCATTTAAACTGGCAACAAATTTGGTCCCCAGGACCATTGATAATATCTGGAGACATGTTTGGTTGTCACAGATAGGGTGAAGATGCTACTAGAATCTTATGTTGAGAAGCAGAAGTGCTGTTAAACATCATAGGATATACACAACAGTTCCCTCTGACAAAGACTTACCTGGCCCAGAGTATCAGTACAGCTGAAGTTGAGACACTGTTTTAAGGAACTGGAAACTTTTGATCTAGCGGAGTCCTAGCACTATAGAGGGTCAGGACCATCTCTGGAATGAATTGGTTTCAACTTGCTGTACTGAGATTTTTCCAGAGTTATCTTGTCACCAAATCTTCTACCCCCTTCACCTTCCAGCCCCAGTATGAGCACTCCTGGCTCCCTAGCACCCACCTTCACTTACTGCTAATGAGCCTCATAGCAAGCCTTCACTGATGTTTCCAATGCCATAAATCATGGTGGTAGAAGGCTGTCCATCTTTCTCCCTCAGAGCTATTGGTGGACTCGAACCACTAGTGTGTCACTTTTTGGTTAGCAGGGTAACTCAATAGGGACTACTGACTATACCACTAGAGCTCCCTTCACGAGCACCCAGAGCCATAAAAAACCTTGTGGTTTTGTTTTCCCCACTGGAGTCTAAATTTGTTAGGGCCAAATGACTCTCTGTGTTTTGAATTTGTATCTTCCCCATCTAGAAAAATGTCTGTCACATGATAATGCTCAGTAAATGTTTATTGAATAACAAATGGATGATCTTTGTACATATATAATAATATGCCTTAGTCATTTTTCTGTTGCTTTATACTTTTTAATTGGTATATTTTATTAGAATATGTTTAGAATAACTCTTTAAGGCGAATGTTGTTATTTTCATTTTGCAGATGAAGAAATGAAGTTTGGAATCATGTTAATTTGCTGTATGGCAAAGTGCTAGCAAGTGTCATTGCCTTGAAGTGAATCAGTTTTCTGGTACTAAAACTTAATTACTTTCTACTTGTTTTTATGGTGGTGAAATCAAGCTCATAATAGAGAAGCTGGTAGTACACTGAGTCTTAGATTCTTTTCTGAAAAGGATGGTAGTCCATTAATGGACAAATGAGTATCATTGAATGAAGATGATAAATTCTAGAAGAAACAAACTTAAGACTTTTCCAGAGATTTATGAACGACTATCATTGAATGAAAATGATAAATTCTGCAAGAAACAAGCCTTTTCTCAGAGATTTATGAACTTCAGGAGTGCTTTTGACTTTAAAATGAAGCTTTAGTTTTCTGATTTGTATTGAGTCCTGGATATGTGATCAAAATACCTTTTGTAAATTTTATTCAGTACAACTTTGAATGATCTATGAAACCTGATGTTCTCTAAGTGACTTTTCCACTTCAGAGAGCAGAGATATCTTCAGTAGAAAATGCTCAAGGGATAATTCTTGAGTTAGTTTTATGAAAAGGACACCTGTTCTTTACTTATGGGGAGAGGAGCAGATGCTCAGCACCGAAACCATTCCAGGACAGTGTGGGCCTTGGGTGTTTTTGCAGAGAAAAGGAAGGAACTGATGCTTTTATTCTCTGCTTTCATTCCCTAAAGTTCTGTGCTGGCAGAGAACTTCTAACTCTTTGCCAATATGGTTCTCACTCTGCTGTCATGACACAGATGAGCAAGTAGGGTTCTGTGTCAGGTGAAAGGATTTTGTGCTTGGGCTTCTCAAGATACACAGAAAAAAGGGAAAGTGCTGATCTGGAGTGTACTAAACAAGCAACCTGTGGGGTGATGATAAAAATGATAATGTAGTCTGAAAATTATTGATTTGTTAGCTTTCATTACATATTACTTCATTAGTTTTTGCATATTGTAAAAAAGGTAATAAAACTATCGTCTACTGACTGACAGTGCCTCATTTTTTCACAATGATGTCTGTCAATATGTGTAACAAATCTATCACAAGCAAGTAAGGATAGAAAAGAGTGGTAAATTTCCCAAGTTCACAAAGGTAGAAAAACATGAATGCAAACTCAGGTCTTTAATTATAAAAGCTGTGGCCTTTCTGGAGTGCTTTACACAGTGCAGGCTAGGCTGAGGATTGTTTATATGGATAGAAGATCTTCTCTAGTGCAACCAAGAAGGTCAAGGCCACTGATTGACATTCATAGTGTCAAAACCAATGGTGACTGCTTGGTCTTCAATCTCAGCTGAGTATTCTCTTGCTCCTGAACTATTATTTTCTTTGATTTCCTCAACAACATACTCACCTGGCTTTCTCTTTGCTAGTCATTCCTTCTCAGTGATCTTTGTTGGCTCTTTCTATGCTCAACTTAATATTCATCACCCCAGGCTCAATCCTCAAGCTATTACCACTTTTTCTTCTCTGGTTTCATAATATCTTTGTAAATTGGGATTAATATAATAAAAAATAGGCAGATTTATGTACAAGAGAATGGAATCTGCACATAGACCAATGGAACAGAATTGAGAACCCAGAAATGGACTTAGCTATCTATGGTCAACTGATATTTGACAAGGAAATAAAACCTATCAAATGGGGATATGACAACCTCTTCAATAAATGGTGCTGATAAAACTGGACTGCTACCTGAAGAAAGCAGAAACAGGATCCACATCTCACACCATATACAAAATCAATTCAAGGTGGATCAGAGACCTGGGAGTAAAACCCAAAACCATAAAGTTCATAAGAGACAAACTTGGATCAAACGTAGACAGCCTAGTTAAAGAGACTGCCAAATACAACCAGAAATGCACAGACTGGAGAGGATAAAATTGGTGAATGGGACCTTCTAAAGATTAAATCCCTGTGTGCATCAAAAACATTTTCTAATAGAGTGAAATGAAATCATAGTCACTGGGAACAAACAATTGACAATACCGTTTCAGATAAGGGTCTCATATCAAATGTTTACAGAATCCTGCAGGGCTTCCACAAGAAAAAGACTGATCACGCAATTACAAAATGGGTGAAAGACATAGAAAAAATTTTCACAGAGGAAGATACTCAGATGGCCAACAGACACATGCAGAAATTCTCAAAACCACTGGCAATAAGAAAGATGCAAATCAAAACCACAATGAGATACCATCTCACTAGCAGTGACAAAGTTTAACAAGACAGCAAGTAATAAATGTTGGAGAGGATGAGGCAAGATAGGAACTCTTAAACATTGTTGGTGGGATTGAAAAGAGTACAACCACTCTTGAAGGCAGTTTGGTGCATTCTCAAAGAACCGATCATAGAAATTCCACATGACCCTGCTATTCCATTGCTTGGAATATATTCTGAGAGAATGAGAAGTTAGGCCCAAATGGAGACTTATACATCAATGTTCATAGCAGCATTATTCACCATCACAAGAAGATGGAAACAGCCCAAATGTCCAAACACAGTTGCATGAATTGAGAAATTATGGTACATTCCAAGCAGTAAGCAGGGGCAATGATTTTGTAAATTACTACCTAAATTGGGAGGGACTAGGGAGTATTATGTTGAGTAACTAAGTCTCATAAGGACAAATATTGTATAAAGCCTTTACTGTAGAATGAGTATGAGGATCCAAGGTGGGGAAGAGGAGGGAAGCATAGGGCTGAGGATGGGGGTGGATGGGA